CCTGTCCCACAGCAAGGTGGTGCATGTCACATGCTGAGCTCAGAGTCTAGTCCAGGTGAACACTCGTTTGAGTGTCTGTGAGGGAACAAGTGAGAGGCCCAGAGACCAGGACATGGAGAGAAATATAGGGAGATTGGGATGGGCATGGGGGCTCACACCTGTAATCCCAGCACTCTGGGAGACCAAGGTGGGTCGATCACCTGAGGTCAGTAGTTCAAGACCAGCCTAGCCAATATGGTGAAACCCTCATCTCTACTAAAAATACAAAAATTAGCTGGGTGTAGTGGCACTACTGTAATCCCAGCTACTCTGGAGGCCGAGGCAGGAGAATCACTTGAACCTGGGAGGCGGAGGTTGCAAGAGCCAAGATTTTGGCACTGTACTTCAGCCTGGATGACAGAGCGAGTATCCATCCCCCCAAACACACAAAATATATATATGTATAGTGAGATCACAGGAGAGAGATGGGCTGTCCTTTCTACCCAGGGAAATGGAGATAGAGCTTAATGGTAGCTCACAGACAGACAGAGAGAGAGGGATGGAACAGAGTAGGCGGTGAATAAATGATGGTGAGTGAGTGGAAGAGACACAGAGAATGAGGGAAGGAGGGAGGAAGGGAAGAGGAGGGAGAGACAGATAAAGAGAGAGAGAGAACACCAAGTGATATAGACTTAGGTGAAGACAGAGGGAGAGAGATACAGAGATACAGAGAGACAGAGAGACAGAGACAAGGGAGGGAGATAGAGATCAAGGGAGAAGATCTAGAAAAAGTAAAGTGAGATTTCATTCCCCAAGACCTGGGCCAGAACAAATGTCCACATGGTGTCCGATGACAATCCAACTATCGGAGGAAGGCCTTGGCCTCTCCCAGCCCCCGGTATGGTGAGAGAGAGGGAGGCAGAGGGCCAGAGCTGGGGCCGTAACACCTCCAGTGACCCGTTTGACTTCTTCCTCCTTCCCCAAGGTGAACGGTGTGCTGACAGCGTTGCCTGTCTCCGAGGCCAACGGGCGGATTTCAGTGACCCACGGTGCATCCAAGGCACTGCTGGTGGCTGACTTTGGACTGCAAGTCAGCTATGACTGGAATTGGCGGGTAGATGTGACGCTGCCCAGCAGCTATCATGGCGCAGTGTGCGGGCTCTGTGGTAACATGGACCGCAACCCCAGCAATGACCAGGCCTTCCCTAATGGCACCCTGGCTCCCTCCATACCCATCTGGGGCGGCAGCTGGCGAGTCCCAGGCTGGGACCCACTGTGTTGGGACATATGTCCGGGGTCCTGCCCAACGTGCCCTGAGGACAAGTTGGAACAGTTCGAGGGCCCTGGCTTTTGCGGACCCCTGGTCCCTGGCACAGGGGGCCCCTTCGCCACCTGCCATGCTCATGTGCCACCTGAGAGCTTCTTCAAGGGCTGTGTCCTGGACGTCTGCATGGGTGGTGGGGCCCACGACATTCTTTGCAAGGCACTGGCTTCCTACGTGGCCGCCTGCCAGGCCGCTGGGGTTGTCATCGAAGACTGGCGGGCACAGGTCGGCTGTGGTGAGTGTCGGGGTAGCAGAGGCGGGGCTGGGGTCACGTTCTCGTCTCTTCGGGGCTAGTTTGGTTTCACTCTGGTCCTCCTGGGTCTCTTTGTTTGCTTTTCTCTCTGTTTGTCTCTCTGTCTCTTGGTGCTCGTCTCTGTGCCTCGCTTTGCTTGTCTCTGTCTGTTTCTCATTCTCTCTCCCTCAGTTTCTTCTTGGGTCTCCTGGTCTCTTGCTTTCTCCCATTTGTTTCTCCGTGTTCTCTGTCTCTCTGTGTCTTGTCCTCTGTCTCTCCCTTTCTGTGTATGCTCCCTATTGTCGCTCTCTGTTTCCTCCCACCCTGTCCTGTGACCCCACCCTAACACCGTTCTCTCTGTTTCTCTCCTTCCTGCTCCTTCATCTGCCCACAGAGATCACCTGCCCAGAAAACAGCCACTACGAGGTCTGCGGCCCACCCTGCCCGGCCAGCTGTCCGTCCCCTGCGCCCCCTGCAACCCCAGCCGTATGCAAGGGTCCCTGTGTGGAAGGCTGCCAGTGTGACGCGGGTTTCGTGCTAAGTGCTGACCGCTGTGTTCCCCTAAACAACGGCTGCGGCTGCTGGGCCAACGGCACCTACCACGAGGCGGGCAGTGAGTTTTGGGCTGATGGCACCTGCTCCCACAGGTGCCGCTGCGGGCCTGGGGGCGGCTCGCTGGTCTGCACACCTGCCAGCTGTGGGCTGGGTGAAGTGTGTGGCCTCCTGCCATCCGGCCAGCGCGGCTGCCAGCCCGTCAGCACAGCTGAGTGCCAGGCCTGGGGTGACCCCCATTATGTCACTCTGGATGGGCACCGATTCGATTTCCAAGGCAACTGCGAGTACCTGCTGAGTGCACCCTGCCACGGACTACCCTCCGGGGCTGCGAACTTCACTGTCACTGTAGCCAATGAGCACCGGGGCAGCCAGGCTGTCAGCTACACCCGCAGTGTCACCCTGCAAATTTACAACCACAGCCTGACACTGAGTGCCCGCTGGCCCCGGCAGCTACAGGTGAGGAGGGCTATGGGCCAGACAGGAGCAGGTGCCAGCTCTGGGGTTGCCTGAGATGGTAAGGGCTTCACCATTCCCCTGGGCACCTTTCACAGCTTAGCTGGGGCATGATGGAAGGGTCAGAGGATAGGCCTGGGAGCCTGATGGCTTGGCACTGCGGCTTCTTCCTCTCTGAGCCTACTGTATTCCTCCGTAAACTGGTGTAAGAAAAGTACCTGTTTTAGAAAAGGATGAGGAGTCACTGACATGTGCCTATAGAGGCTCTTTGATTTTCTTTTCTTTTTTTCTTTCTTGCTTTTCTTTCTTTTTTTTTCTTAGCCTGACTCTGTTGCCCAGGCTGGAGTGCAGTGACAGGATTAGGGCTCACTGCAGCCTGGAACTCCTGGGTTCAATCGATCCTACCACGTTGGCCCCTGCCTCCCGAGTGGCCGGAACTAGAGGCGCAGGCAACCACCTGGCTAATTTTTCATTTTTTTTTGTAGAGATGCAGGTCTCACTATGTTGCCCAAGCTGGTCTTAACTTCTGGCCTCAAGCCATCCTCCCATCTCGCCCTTCCAAAGTACTGGGATTGTAGGCTGCGCCACCAGGCCCGGCCTATAGATGCTCATTATTATTTTCAGAGGGGAGGTGACATGCTCAGGGTCCCACAGCTAGTAGGTGGTGGGGCCAGGATTCAAACCCGTTTTCGCTCTGCTTACCGCTCCCCCAACCCCCGCCCGCAGGTGGACGGCGTGTTCGTGGCTCTGCCCTTCCATCTGGATTCGCTGCTGCACGCACACCTGAGCGGCGCCGACGTGGTGGTGACCACAACCTCAGGGCTCTCGCTGACTTTCGATGGGGACAGCTTCGTGCGCCTGCGCGTGCCGGCGGCGTACGCGGGCGCTCTCTGTGGCTTATGCGGGAACTACAACCAGGACCCCGCAGACGACCTGAAGGCTGTGGACGGGAAGCCTGCTGGATGGCAGGTGGGCGGCGCCCCGGGCTGCGGAGAATGTGTGTCTGGGCCATGCCCTTCGCAGTGCACCCCAGAGCAGCAGAAGTCCTTCGGCGGCCCGGACGCCTGCGGCGTGATCTCCGCCACCGACGGTCCGCTGGCGCCCTGCCACGGCCTTGTGCCGCCCGCGCAGTACTTCCAGGGCTGCTTGCTGGACGCCTGCCAAGTTCAGGGCCATCCTGGAGGCCTCTGTCCTGCAGTGGCCGCCTACGTGGCAGCTTGTCAGGCCGCTGGGGCCCAGCTCGGCGAGTGGAGGCGGCCGGACTTCTGTCGTAAGTACTGCTCCATGCATGGTCCGCATAGCAGGGTCTCTCCCTGCCCTTCTTTTCCAGGACTGTAAGACAGCAGCCCCTTCCTCCTCCATGGGGCTCAGGGGCCACCTTCCTTCCTCTGAGCTGGGTATCTCCTGTCAGGAAACACCTTGGCTCCCACACACTGAAATGCCCCAAGTCAGGTACTGCAGTGAGAGAGAGTCAGTTAGAAACAGGTATTGAGAGTCTGGCCGCAGTGGCTCACGCCTGTAATCCCAGCACTTTGGGAGGCCGAGGCAGGCAGATCACCTGAGGTCAGGAAGTCGAGACTAGCCCGGTCAACATGGTGATACCCCCGTCCCTACTAAAAATACAAAATTCATCCAGGTGTGGTGGCGGGCACCTGTAATCCCAGCTAATAGGGAAGCTGAGGCAGGAGAATCACTTGAACCCAGGAGGCAGAGGTTGCAGTGAGCCAAGATGCGACACTGCACTCCAGCCTGGGTGACAGAGACTCCATCTCAGAAAAAAAAAAAAAAAACAAAACAGAAAGAAAACAAACACCTAGTCAGAAACCCGGGATCCAGGACACTTGGGGATTGGTGATCCATGTTCTCAGACATTCAAGGCATGTAGATTGGGATGACTGACCCTGCCTCAATCACGTAGCAGGGTACCCTTGCTTAGGAAGACCTAGTGAGTTACAGCTGATCACAGGGCCCTGGTCTGTTGCACACACTGAAATACACCTTGTCATATAGAATTAGTCGCATGCCTTCAGTGGTATCTGCTTAGATTTTATACTAACTGGTCAGATACACTCAGAAAGAATCAGGATCCTGACATAGCCCTGGGCAGATCCACACAGATGCATAGTTAGATAGTCCTAGGCAGTTCCCTTCAAGTAGGTCTCCTGGTCACAGGTATCCTGCCAACTTCACCCAGGCACAGCCTTAGACAGACCATGTCACACGGACTCTGGGAGATGATCCAGGTCAGACACCCACAGCTGGGTGCCCTCAGGCAGAGTCATACCTTGAGATACATGTGGCCCCATGCCCCAGTCACATTCACACCCTGAGATACCCATAGTCGGTTCTGATCTTGCATAACCCGAATAGATAATAGTGATCCATTTCAGCCAGGTAATCCTGGCTGACATAGTGAGACCCCATCTCTACAAAAAATCATAATAAATCAGCCGGATGTGGTGGCTCACCCCTGTAGTCCCAGGCAGTCGGGAGGCTGAGGCCAGAGGATTGCTTGAGGTGGAGGTGGAGGCTGCAGCAAGCTGTGATTGGGCCTCTGCACTCCAGCCTGGGTAAGACAGAGTGAGAGCCTGTCTCAAAAAAATATCAGGCAAGCAGAGTCATTTGATCTTTAGAAATATTTGGTCAGAGAGACGTGGGCGTGTCCTCTCCCATTATAGGTCCCACATTGAGTCCCCCAGTTAGATGTCCTGGATCACATGTGCATACCCAGAGACAGCCAGGTTGACCTGAGGAGTTTTCCCACTCAGGGCCTCCCCAGACCCCGACTCGAATGCCTACATGGCTCATGCCCACCTTGTCCCCACAGCCTTCCAGTGTCCTGCCCACAGCCACTACGAGCTCTGCGGTGACTCCTGCCCCGTGAGCTGCCCGAGCGTCTCGGCCCCCGAGGGCTGTGAGTCGGCCTGCCGTGAAGGCTGTGTCTGCGATGCTGGCTTCGTGCTCAGTGGTGACACCTGTGTACCTGTGGGCCAGTGTGGCTGCCTCCACGATGACCGCTACTACCCGCTGGGCCAGACCTTCTACCCTGGCCCTGGGTGTGATTCCCTTTGCCACTGCCGAGAGGGTGGCCTGGTATCCTGTCAACCCTCCAGCTGCGGCCCGCACGAGACCTGCCGGCCATCCGGTGGCAGCTTGGGCTGTGTGGCCGTGGGCTCTGCCACCTGCCAGGCGTCGGGAGATCCCCACTACACCACCTTCGATGGCCGCCGCTTCGACTTCATGGGCACCTGCGTGTATGTGCTGGCTCAGACCTGCGGCACCCGGCCTGGCCTGCATCGGTTTGCCGTCCTGCAGGAGAACGTGGCCTGGGGTAATGGGCGAGTCAGTGTGACCAGGGTGATCACGGTCCAGGTGGGAAACTTCACCCTGCGGCTGGAGCAGAGACAGCGGAAGGTCACGGTGAGAGCAGATGAGGAGCAGGGGGCGAGGGGCCTGTGGGTGGGTGGGGCACAGGCAGTGCTCAGCCCAGGAGTTGGGGGCACAGAGATGAGAGTGCATGTGGGAGGCCTGGGGTCCCTGAGGACAGAAGCTGCCAATCAGAACCCAGAGTGGGAAGCCAATGAGGGAGGTGTCCTCAGGGACTTGGGAGCTGCTCCCCCTACTCTGTCCCTCAGTCTCCACCCTCTCTTCACCTCCATGCATTGACTTTTCTCTCCAAATCTCTCCCACCCTCTCCTCCCTGCCACCCCATCCTCTCCCCACCTCAATCCTGGATTCTGTCCTACTCACCTCCCTGTTCTGCCACTCATTGGCAGGACGTGGTGCCATCAGAGGTTGAGAAAGCGCAAGGCTGGAGAAGCTTCATGGACAGAGGACAATCTGTGGGTGACACTATCATCCCCTATCAACAACAACAGCAGCTGTAGTTTCTATACAGCTGACTGCAGACCTTTTGGCCGCCAGGCACTTCATGTCCATGGTGTCTGTATGTGTGCACCAGGAGCTGCAGGCACCATGACGTGCTTTATTTTTCAGAGTGGGGTGGCCCATCACTGGCCCATAGTCCCCCAGCAAATGTGGAGCTTGAACCCCGTGCTGCTCTGCAGAGCTTTTCTTACCAAGAAGATCTGGTCTCCTATGGAGACTGGCATCTCAGTTACGGTGGAGGGGTTTCCCCTGAGATCCCACTGAAACACACACGCAGCTGTTTCTCTGGTAGCAGTATTGGCGAAGGTGCTGATACATTACTGACTTAATCTGGTGAACTGGATAGGCGTGACTTTTTTTCTTTCTTTCTTTCTTTCTTTTTTATTTTTGAGACAGAGTCTGTCTTTGTCACCCAGGCTAGAGTGCAGTGGCGCCATCTCTGCTCACTGCCACCTCTGCCTCCTTGGTTCAAGTGATTCTGCTGCCTCAGTCTCCGGAGTAGCTGGGATCACACCTGTGCAACACTACACTCAGCAAATTTTTGTATTTTTAGTGGAGATGGGGTTTCGCCGTGTTGGCCAGACTGGTCGCAAACTCCTGACCTCAGTGATCTGCCAGCCTCAGCCTCCCGAAGTGCTGGGATTAGCGGCATAAGCCACTGTGCCCACCCGACACGCATGACTTAATTGAGTATATTGCCTAATGTTTTCCAAGCTCCTAGAATAGCCCCTGACATACAGTGCCTAAACACATAAGAATTGTTGGTGTTCTTGTTAGCTGCTTCTTACTGAATCCCCCAGCTTCCCTACACATGTGGGAGCTCTTATTACCCCCAGTTTACAGCTGAGGAAACTGAGGCAAGGGTAAGTCAGTAGCCCTTACCCGCCCCCCAGCCCTGCTTGGGAAGTGTGGCAGTTGACCATCTTTTTAGGAGACTCAGCCAGGAGCATATCTTTCTCTTGCCTTCTCCTGTGATTCTTCGCATTTCCAAAAGAATCCAGTGTGCACTGTCTGTGATAAGGAAGGGTGAGCAAATGTGTTAATCAGGGGTTGATTTATTTATTTACATTTTTAGAGACAGGGTCTTGCTCTCTCATCGAGGCTGGAGTGCAGTGGTGTGATCCTAGCTCCCTGTAGCCTTGAACTCCTGGTCTCAAGCAATCCTACCACTTCTGCCTCCTGAGTGGCTGGGACTACAGGAATGCACCACCATGCCCAGTTAATTTGTTTTATTTTGTAGAGACAGGATCTCGATATGTTGCCCAGACTGACCTTGAACTCCTGGGCTCCAGTGATCTTCCCGCCTTAGAGTCTCAAAGTGCTGGGATCATAGACATGAGCCACTGTGCCCCGTCCAGGGGTGGATTTACCAGGCTTTGTTGGTGCCTAGTAACCTTAAACTGAAACCACTTGTCCTCAGCTCATAGGTTTGAGTTCATTTCCCCAAGAATTTAGTCTAACTTTCCACCCGCTGATGCTTTAAAGCAAAAACCTGTGGTGTCCGTTTACTCTTCAGAAGAAAAACCTCCATTCATAGCTGCTAGTAACGGCAGATGCTCCTGAAGCATGCATGCTATGCCAGCCATGTTTCTCAGCACTTTACAGACATTAATTTATCTGAGGCTGACAATTCCGTGGGGCAAACACCTTATTTTCGCCTGAAAGATGAGGAAAGAGAAACAGGGAGAGGTGACTCTCTTGCCCAAGGTCACAAAGAGGGTAAGGGGGAAACTGTTTGAACTCGGGCAAGTGGCTCTGGGGGCGATCATTGCTTATTAATGCCTGCCTCAAGTGATAGATAAAGGATAGCTGGAGGCTTGTTACTTCATTGAGACATGTATTCGATTCCCGTGGCTGCCATAACGATTATCACAAGCTTCGTGGCTTAAAACAGTACAATGTACTTTCCCACAGTCCTGGATGCCAGAGGTTCAACATCAGGGTGTCGGCAGAGCTGCACCGCCTCCAAAGGCACTGGGTGGGGGATCTTGCTTTCCGTTTCCAGCTCTGGAGGCTCCAGGTTCTCTGGGCTTGTGACAACACCATTCTAATCTGTGCCTTCATCTTCATGTGACCTTTTCTTGTGTGTCTGTGTCTTTTTCTCTCTGGCTCTTATAAGGACACTTGTCATTGGATTTAGGGCCCAGCTTAATCCAGGACAATCTCATGTTGAGATTATTATCCTATTACATCTGCAAGAACTTTATTCCAAGTAAGCTCACATTATGGGATTCTGGGTGAATATGTCTTTTGGGGACCACCATTCAATGCAATATCAGACCCTATTATTATATCCATTTCATAAATACAAAACTGAGGGCCTAAGAGGTGAGGACACACAGTTCTTCAGCATCAGGCATGGGCTTGAACTAGGGTCTGACCCCCACTCAAAGTTTATTTTCTGAAGCGTGGCCTGCGTCTCTCGCCTCCCAGGTGAACGGTGTGGACATGAAGCTGCCCGTGGTGCTGGCCAACGGCCAGATCCGAGCCTCCCAGCATGGTTCAGACGTTGTGATTGAGACCGACTTCGGCCTGCGTGTGGCCTACGACCTTGTGTACTATGTGCGGGTCACCATCCCCGGAAACTACTACCAGCTGATGTGTGGTCTGTGTGGGAACTACAACGGCGACCCCAAGGATGACTTCCAGAAGCCCAACGGCTCACAGGCTGGCAACGCCAATGACTTCGGCAACTCCTGGGAGGAGGCGGTGCCCGGCTCTCCCTGCCTGCCGCCACCCACCTGCCCGCCAGGGAGCGAGGGCTGCGACACCAGCAAGTGTCCTCCCGAGCAGGAGAAGAAGTATCAGAAGGAGGAGTTCTGTGGGCTCCTCTCCAGCCCCACAGGGCCGCTGGCCTCCTGCCACAAGCTGGTGGATCCCCAGGGTCCCTTGCAAGATTGCGTCTTTGATCTCTGCCTGGGTGGTGGGAACCTGAGCATTCTCTGCAGCAACATCCATGCCTATGTGAGTGCTTGCCAGGCGGCTGGAGGCCACGTGAAGCCCTGGAGGACAGAAACTTTCTGTCGTGAGTGAGGGAGAGCCAGAGGGGCAGGGAGGGGAGAGGTTGAAGCACAGAAGGGTAGACCCTGGGCCTTGCAGCCCCTCCCTCCCCAGGGCTCTGACGGGCACCCCTTCCTTGCAGCCATGAAGTGCCCAGCGAACAGCCACTACGAGCTCTGCGCGGACACCTGCTCCCTGGGCTGCGCGGCTCTCAGTGCCCCTCTGCAGTGCCCAGATGGGTGTGCTGAAGGCTGCCAGTGTGACGCCGGCTTCCTCTACAACGGTGAAGCCTGCGTGCCCATCCAGCAGTGTGGCTGCTACCACAATGGTGTCTACTATGAGGTAGGAACCTAGTCATCTGGGGCAGAATATGGGGCCTCACCCCTCCCACTGCTCATCAGCTCCACAGCCTACTTGGTCTCTTATTTATTCTTTTTGAGTCAGGGTCTCACTCTGTCACCCAGGATAGAGTGTAGTGGTACCGTCATAGCTCACTGCCGCCCCAAGTTCCTTGGCTCAAGCAATCCTTCACCCCCCCTTCAAGTACCTGGACTATAGGCGTGCACCACCAAGCCCAGCGAGTTTTTAATTTTCTTGTGGGGACATAGACATGGGGGGGTCTCATTATGTTGCTCAGGCTGGTTGTGAACTCCAGGCCTCAAGCCATACTCCCACCTTGGCCACCCAAAGTGCTGGGATTAATGGCATGAGCCACCATGCCCGACCCATTCAGCCACCTTTTTTTTTTTTTTTTTTTTTAAGACATAGTCTTGCTCTGTTGCCCAGGCTGGAGTGCAACCTCTGACTCTTGCCTGGGTTCAAGTTCACTGCAACCTCGGAGTCCCAGGTTGAAGCAATTCTCTTGTCTCAGCCTCCTGAGTAGCTAGGAGTGCAGGCGTGTGCCACTATGCCTGGCTAATTTTTTGGTTTTTGGTAGAGATGGGGTTTTGCCATATTGGCCAGGCTGCTCTCAAACTCCTGACCTCAAGTGATCCTCCTGCCTTGGCCTCCCAAAGTGTGAACATTACAGGCATGAACCACCACAGTCCACTCACTCTCTTGAATGTCTCTTGTACCCACTTCTTTCCCCTTCCCCATGGCCCTCCCTTGGTCCAGCTGGTCCTCTCCCACCTGGGTCCCTCCAGGCTCCTACTTTTGCTCCCTCTGGTCCACCCTCCACATGGCAGTGGTAAAGATCTTTCTAAATATGACCATGGACTCTGAAGCTTTAAACCCTCCCCTGACTCCCCAGGTCAACTTGTGGCTTTGCCTTCCAGGTCTCGATGAAGGGAGCCTTTCTGACCACAAAGACCAGATTTTCATCTGTTACACCAGCTGCTAACACGCTCTGCTTCCCTCTCCCACTGTCTCCCTGTTGGTCCTTCTTCTTTGACTGGAGCATGTATTTGTCTAATGCCCGACTCCCTTGCAGGACTGTGAGCTCTCCGCGGGGTGGGACCCTCTCTCTGTTGTTCTCCTCATGTAAATAATAGTAATAATAATAGAAAATATGTAGATAGTGCTTTCTATGTATCTCGTAATGTTTTGAGTGCTATGTGTGCATATTTTTATACATACATTACATATCTAAAAACTTTTTATTCTGAAAATTTTCAAACATGCGAAAATTAAGAGAATAGTGGAAGAACTGTCCATGTACTTACCCATTACTTAGCTTCAAAACTAAGCCACATTCTCCCAGTCTTGTTTGATGTCTACCCCACGTATCTCTCCTATCTGAATGTTTTAAAGGAAGCCTTTTTTTTTTTTTTTTTCTTGAGATGGAGTTTCGCTCTGTCACTCAGGCTAGAGTGCAGTGGCGAGGTTTCGCTTCACTACAAGCTCCGCCTCCTGAGTTCACTCCATTCTCCTGCCTCAGTTTCCCGAGTAGCTGGGACTACAGGCGCCCGCCACCACACCTGCCTAATTTTTTGCATTTTTAGTAGAGACTAGGTTTCACCATGTTAGCCAGGATGGTCTCAGTCTTCTGACCTCGTGATCCACCCGCCTCGGCCTCCCAAAGTGCTGGGATTAAAAGCATGAGCCACCGCGTCCGGCCTACCCTTTTCATTTTATCTGAATTTTACATGTGTTATTAACTCAGTTATACTTCCCTAGGCAGGCGCTACTATTTTCTGCAATGTGCACATCAGGAAACTGAGCCATAAAGTGGTGAAGTAACTTGCTCAGAGTCGCAGAATTTGGAAACAGCAGAAACGAACTTCAAGCTCAGGCGATCTGCCCTTAGTTACTATGTCACACCATTTCTCCTACAGCAGAGATTGAGCGGATATTTTGGAATGAATGAGTTGATGAATAAAAGTGAATGAACAAATGTACAAATGAATGACGGCCCCAAACCCATGCTGTGCCTCAGCTTCACAGACAGGGGGCCATCCTGCTGAGAGATGTCCCTTGTCTGTGATGTCTGCAAACCCCTCTGTGCCCAGAATGCCAGAGATGTGAGAGTCGGCTCCCACCCGTGATGTCTGATGGCCGTGCCCTCTCTCCCCACAGCCGGAGCAAACAGTCCTCATTGACGACTGTCGGCAGCAGTGTACGTGCCATGTGCGTAAAGGTGTGTTGTGCCAGGAACACAGCTGCAAGCCGGGGCAGGTGTGCCAGCCCTCCGGAGGCATCCTGAGCTGCATCACCAAAGGTGCTGGGCTGGGCTGGGACTGGGGCTGATGTGACTATGGATGGTACAGGGACTCTGGGGCCGAGGGTGATGTGACTGGGGTGTGCATGGCGGGAGGTGCACAGGACTAATGATGGAGGTCGCAGACCTAGAGACCCCTGGGCTGGGTTTCACAGGGCCAGAGCCACCTACTGTGGGAGGCAGGGACCCTTAGGGAAAATCCAGGCTGTGGGGACCCTCAGAGGTTTCTCAGGGTTGATGTCAGAGACCCTCGGTATAAGGCAGGGACAGGCGCGCCTTTGCTGATACGGGCTACATGGTAAATGTGTCAGCTTGCAGGCTGTATGGTCTGGTTCCAACTACTCACTCTGCCACTGTGGCATGAAAGCAGCTGTAGACTATATAAGTGAATAGGTGAGGCTGCTATAAGACTTTAGAATACAAGAGCAGCAGCCTAGGGGGCCATGGTGAGCTGACCGCTGGTGCGTGGAATTAGGCTTGGGGTTCAGACACTAGCACCAAAGGGCAGGGGAGAGACTGGGATCCCAGGGACAGGGACAGAGAGCAGAGTTCTGAGTTTGAGGCACAGAGACCCCACCAAGGCAGAACATTGGATATGGGGACCCCTCTCAAGTGGGAGATCAGGATTTCTAGGGGTATAGTCTCCGATGTGGGAACCCCCCAGACTAAATCTAGGACACAGAGCCACCCCCAGGGCTCATTTCTTAGGGTGAAGAGCAGAGAACCCTCCTCCCCGTATGGATAAGATAATAGGAGCTCCAGCACCAACGTGTAGGGCTAAGACTCTCAGGGTGACGAGCAGGACAATGGGACTCCCAGGAACGGGGGGTATATCGCTCAGCATCCAGTCGAGAGACAGAAAGCACCCAGCCATTTCAATGAGGAAAGTTCAATTAAAGAATCATTTACTTATTAATAGGAGATTAACTATTAAAAGGCAAAAAGGGCCTGGTGCAGTGGCTCACACACCCAGCACTTTGGGAAGATCGCTTGAGGCCAGGAGTTCAAGACCAGCCTGGGCAACATAGCGAGACACCCGTCTCCACAAAAAATTTAAACTTAGCCAGGTGTGGTGATATACGCCTGTGGTCCCAGCTATTCAGGAGGCTGAGTTGGGAGGATCACTTGAGCCCAGGAGTTCGAGGCTGCAGTGAGCTATGATTGTACCACTGCCCTCCAGCCTGGGCAAGGAAGCAACACCTTGTCTCTTTACAAACAAACAAATAAATAGAAATAAGAAACGGTAAAGAGAACACTAAAGAATACCACCGAAGCAGACAGAGGAAGTAGCCCCCACTTCTAGGGCTCAGGTAGAGGCCTCATGGAAGGGAGAAATTGGCCCCTCCTTTTCATGGAGGGGAGAATCAGCCCCACGGCTGAGTCCAGTCCCACTGCAGCTGTAGCCCACTGGGTGGCACAGAGGTTTCTGCAGGCTGGAGTTGGCAAGAAGGAAACCCCTCACTGGGAAGCCAGCTGGGACCAGTGGAACTCACTGACTGTGGCCACACACCCTGGCCAGAGCTGGAAGGGCCAAAGTGGCTGGAAGCCAGACCAGGAGCCCCTCCCTGCTGCAGTGACTCCCCAGCGCCCTCTGTTGACAAAGCTTAACTCCACGGGTGTATTTGAAGCTGAGAGGCGGTACATTGGTAACAGGCACAGGAGGAAGGAGACATTTGAAGACTGGCTTCTCCTACACAGGGATTCCACAAGCTGGGTCTCAGATGTAGTAACTGTAGGAACAGGGTCCTGGACACAGAAATCCTCCAGGACAGGGCCTCAGCAGTGAGACACCCTCAAGGCTACTGGCTTGAATATAGCAACCCTCCAGGATGGAGTTTTGCACTGAGGGAGGCCCAGGCCATGAGACGTAGCTAGTTAGGGCCTCAGAGGTTTCAAATCATGCTGAGACCCCTGGCACTGAGCACTTGCCAGAAGATCACCCAAGGCCCTAGTCTAGGGCACAGAGGCCGCCAGGACCTGGAGAAATTGGAGACCAATTGCTATCAAATGTGGAGACATCCAGAGGGCTGAGGTCTCAGGCATGGGGGACCCTGAGGCCTAGATCTTTTTTTCTTTTTTTTTTTTCTGAAATAAGGTCTTACTCTGTCACCCAGGCTGGAGTGTAGTGTAGGTTACTGCGCCTCGATTTCCTGGGCTCACACAATCCTCCTGCCTCAGCCTCCTGAGTAGCGGGGGACTACAGGCACACACCACCATGCCTGCCTAATTTATTAATTGTTCTGTAGAAACGGGGTCTTGCTATGTTGTCCAGGCTGCTCTCAAACTCCAGGGCTCAAGCGATCCTCCCACCTCAGCCTCTTAAAGTGCTGGGATTACAGGCCTGAGCCACCACACCTGGCCTGGGGTCCAGGTCTTGAACACAGAGAACTGTAGTGCTGGGATCTCAGACATGAATGCTCTCAGGGTAGGCATCGCAGACACAAGGACCCCTGGGGCACAGATCTCAACTTGGGTCAAGTGCACCTTTTCTCTAAAGGGCTAGATGGTAAATGTTTAAGCTTGCAGGCTATGCCTTCTCGATCACAGCTACTCACTCTGCCATGGTGGCGTGAAAGTAGCCGTAGACTATGTAAGTGAAGAGGGTGAGGTTCCTATAAATCTTAAAATACAAGAACAGGCTACAATCTCAAGCAAGGACCCCAAGGAAACTGCATCGTAAACACAGGCCCAGAGCCTTGGTCTTAGGTGCATGGACTCCACAACCTCAGTCTCACACAGCAAATGGCAGGGCCTCAGTCTCAGAGGTAGGGGGACTCTAGGGCCGGGGTCTTGGCTGTCAGGGACCTCTGTGGCCCAGGTCTCAGGTATGGGATCTTTGACACCCGAGACTTAGACACAGTCCACCATGGGGCCTCAGTGTCAGACGTGCGGGACTCCCAGGGGCTGGTCTTGAAAACAGCAGGCTGGGCGTGGTGGCTCATCATGCCTGTAATCCCAGCACTCTGGGAGGCCAAGGTTGGCTGATCACTTGATGTCAGGAGCTTGAGACCACCCTGGACAACATGGTCATGGTCAAACTCTGTCTCTACTAAAAATACAAAAATCAGCCAAGCATGGTGGCGGGCACCTGTAATCCCAGCTACTCGGGAGGCTGAGTCAGGAGAATTGCTTGAGCCGGGGAAGCAGAGGTTGCAGTGAGCCGAGATTGCACCATTGCTCTCCAGCCTGGGTGACAGAGAAAGACTCCATCTCAAAAAACCAACAAAACAAAACCAAATACAAAAGCAAACTATAGGACCTGGGTCCTGGACATGAGGACTCTGGAATCTGGTCTTGCCTGCGGTAACCCTCAGATCCCTGGCACAGACTGGGGTAGATGTGGAGGCAGCGGCCATCCTTTACAATGGGCAGCCTCTCCACGGCTGAGTCCAGTCCCACTGCAGCTGTAGCCCACTGGGTGGCACAGAGGTTTCTGCAGGCTGGAGTTGGCAAGAAGGAAACCCCTCACTGGGAAGCCAGCTGGGACCAGTGGAACTCACTGACTGTGGCCACACACCCTGGCCAGAGCTGGAAGGGCCAAAGTGGCTGGAAGCCAGACCAGGAGCCCCTCCCTGCTGCAGTGACTCCCCAGCGCCCTCTGTTGACAAAGCTTAACTCCGCGGGTGTATCTGAAGCTGAGAGACGGTACACTGGTAACAGGACAGGAGGAAGGAGACATTTGAAGACTGGCTTCTCCCACACAGGGATTCCACTAGCTGGCTCACAGATGTAGTAACTGCAGGAACAGGGTCTTGGACACAGAAGTCCTCCAGGACAGGGCCTCAGCAGTGAGACACCCTCAAGGCTACTGGCTTGAATATAGCAACCCTCCAGGATGGAGTTTTGCACTGAGGGAGGCCCAGGCCATGAGACTTAGCTAGTTAGGGACTCAGAGGTTTCAAAACATGCTGAGACACCTGGCACTGAGCACTTGCCAGAAGATCACCCAGGGCCCTAGTCTAGGGCACAGAGGCCGCCAGGATCTAGAGAAATTGGAGACCAATTGCTATCAAATGTGGAGACGTCCAGAGGGCTGAGGTCTCAGGCATGGGGGACCCTGAGGCCTAGACCTTTTTTTTTTTTTTTTTTTTTTGAGATAAAGTCTTACTCTGTCACTCAGGCTGGAATGTAGTGTAGGTTACTGCGCCTCGATTTCCTGGGCTCACACAATCCTCCTGCCTCAGCCTCCTGAGTAGCGGGGGACTACAGGCACACACCACCATGCCTGCCTAATTTCTTAATTGTTCTGTAGAAACGGGGTCTTGCTATGTTGTCCAGGCTGCTCTCAAACTCCAGGGCTCAAGCGATCCTCCCACCTCAGCCTCTTAAAGTGCTGGGATTACAGGCCTGAGCCACCACACCTGGCCTGGGGCCCAGGCCTTGAACACAGAGAACCCCTGGACTGGGATCTCAGACATGAATGTTCTCAGGGCTGGCACTGCAGACACAAGGACCCCTGGGGCACAGATCTCAACTTGGGTCAAGTGCACCTTTTCTCTAAAGGGCTAGATGGTAAATGTTTAAGCTTGCAGGCTATGCCTTCTCGATCACAGCTACTCACTCTGCCATGGTGGCGTGAAAGCAGCCATAGACTATGTAAGTGAACAGGGTGAGGTTCCTATAAAACTTAAAATAGAAGAACAGGCTGAAATCTCAAGCAAGGACCCCATGGAAACTGCATCGTAAACACAGACCCAGAGCCTTGGTCTTAGGTGCACGGACTCCACAACCTCAGTCTCACACAGCAAATGGCAGGGCCTCAGTCTCAGAGGTAGGGGGACTCTAGGGCCGGGGTCTTGGCTGTAGGGACCTCTGTGGCCCAGGTCTCAGGTATGGGAACTTTGACACCCGAGACTTAGACACAGTCCACCATGGGGCCTCAGTGTCAGACGTGCGGGACTCCCAGGGGCTGGTCTTGAAAATAGCAGGCTGGGCGTGGTGGCTCATCATGCCTGTAATCCCAGCACTCTGGGAGGCCAAGGTTGGCTGATCACTTGATGTCAGGAGCTCGAGACTAGCCTGGACAACATGGTGAAACCCTGTCTCTACTAAAAATACAAAAATCAGCCAAGCATGGTGGCGGGCACCTGTAATCCCAGCTACTCGGGAGGCTGAGTCAGGAGAATCGCTTGAGCCGGGGAAGCAGAGGCTGCAGTGAGCCGAGATTGCACCATTGCACTCCAGCCTGGGTGACAGAGAAAGACTCCATCTCAAAAAACCAACAAAACAAAACCAAATACAAAAGCAAACTATAGGACCTGGGTCCTGGACATGAGGACTCTGGAATCTGGTCTTGCCTGCGGTAACCCTCAGATCCCTGGCACAGACTGGGGTAGATGTGGAGGCAGCGGCCATCCTTTACAATGGGCAGCCTCTCAAGGTCCTCCCTCTTCTGTCCCCAGACCCGTGCGACGGTGTGACATGCCGGCCACAGGAGACGTGCAAGGAGCAGGGTGGCCAGGGCGTGTGCGTGCCCAACTATGAGGCCACGTGCTGGCTGTGGGGCGACCCACACTACCACTCCTTCGACGGCCGGGCGTTTGACTTCCAGGGCACCTGTAACTATGTGCTGGCAACAACTGGCTGCCCGGGGGTCAACACCCAGGGCCTGACGCCCTTCACCGTCACCACCAAGAACGAGAACCGGGGCAACCCTGCTGTGTCCTACGTGAGAGTCGTCACTGTGGCTGCCCTGGGCACCAACATCTCCATCCACAAGGGCGAGATCGGCAAAGTCCGGGTATGTGTGGCAGGATGGTCCCCTGAGGTCCCCGGGAGGGCAGGAGGGATCCTGATGACCACAGTTAGCAGCTCAAGGCTCTTTGTCTTCACCTGGGCCTGAAACAAACTGTCAACAAAAAGAATAATTCCAGCAAAAATATCACCCCGTTCCTGGGAATTAGACAAGCCTAGCCCCTTGCTAAGGGCTTTAACCTAGGACCTCGGCATTTGCCTTTTTTAGAGATCTGGGTTTTAATCCAGCCTCTCCTCCTTATGAGCTAGGTGATGCTGGGCAGTTCACTTGGTAGGCCTCAGTTTCCTCATCTGTGAAGTGGGCATCATATCAGGGCCTGTCCCACAGCAAGGTGGTGCATGTCACATGCTGAGCTCAGAGTCTAGTCCAGGTGAACACTCGTTTGAGTATCTGTGAGGGAACAAGTGAGAGGCCCAGAGACCAGGACATGGAGAGAAATATAGGGAGATTGGGATGGGCACGGGGGCTCACACCTGTTATCCCAGCACTCTGGGAGGCCACGGCGGGTCGATCACCTAAGGTCAGTAGTTCAAGACCAGCCTGGCCAATATGGTCAAACCCTCATCTCTACTAAAAATACAAAAATTAGCTGGGTGTGGTGGTGCTACTGTAATCCCAGCTACTCTGGAAGCCGAGGCAAGAGAATCACTTGAACCTGGGAGGCAGAGGTTGCAAGAGCCAAGATTTTGACACTGTACTTCAGCCTGGACGACAGAGCGAGTATCCATCCCCCCCCTCAAAAAAAATATATACATATATATGTATAGTGAGATCACAGGAGAGAGATGGGCTGTCCTTTCTGCCCAGGGAAATGGAGACAGAGCTTAATGGTAGCTCACAGACAGACAGAGAGGGAGGGAAGGAACAGAGTAGGCGGTGAATAAATGATGGTGAGTGAGTGGAAGAGACACAGAGAATGAGGGACGGAGGGAGGAAGGGAAGAGGAGGGAGAGACAGACAGAAAGAGAGAGAGAGAGAGAGACGACCACATAATAGAGACTTAGGTGAAGACAGAGGGAGAGAGAGACAGAGACAGGGGAGGGAGATAGAGATCAAGGGAGAAGATTAGAAAGAGTAAAGTGAGGTTTCATTCCGCAAGACCTGGGCCAGAACAAATGTCCACACTGTGTCCGATGACGATCCAACTATCGGAGGAAGGCCTTGGCGTCTCCCAGCCCCCGGTAGGGTGAGGAAGAGGGAGGCAGAGGGCCAGAGCTGGGGCCGTAACACCTCCAGTGACCCGTTTGACTTCTTCCTCCTTCCCCAAGGTGAACGGTGTGCTGACAGCGTTGCCTGTCTCCGAGGCCAACGGGCGGATTTCAGTGACCCACGGTGCATCCAAGGCACTGCTGGTGGCTGACTTTGGACTGCAAGTCAGCTATGACTGGAATTGGCGGGTAGATGTGACGCTGCCCAGCAGCTATCATGGCGCAGTGTGCGGGCTCTGTGGTAACATGGACCGCAACCCCAGCAATGACCAGGTCTTCCCTAATGGCACCCTGGCTCCCTCCATACCCATCTGGGGCGGCAGCTGGCGAGTCCCAGGCTGGGACCCACTGTGTTGGGACGTATGTCCGGGGCCCTGCCCAACGTGCCCTGAGGACAAGTTGGAACAGTTCGAGGGCCCTGGCTTTTGCGGACCCTTGGTCCCTGGCGCAGGGGGCCCCTTCGCCACCTGCCATGCTCATGTGCCACCTGAGAGCTTCTTCAAGGGCTGTGTCCTGGACGTCTGCATGGGTGGTGGGGCCCACGACATTCTTTGCAAGGCACTGGCTTCCTACGTGGCCGTCTGCCAGGCCGCTGGGGTTGTCATCGAAGACTGGCGGGCACAGGTCGGCTGTGGTGAGTGTCGGGGTAGCAGAGGCGGGGCTGGGGTCACGTTCCCGTCTCTTCGGGGCTAGTTTGGTTTCACTCTGGTCCTCCTGGGTCTCTTTGTTTGCTTTTCTCTCTGTTTGTCTCTCTGTCTCTTGGTGCTCGTCTCTGTGCCTCGCTTTGCTTGTCTCTGTCTGTTTCTCATTCTCTCTCCGTCAGTTTCTTCTTGGGTCTCCTGGTCTCTTGCTTTCTCCCATTTGTTTCTCCGTGTTCTCTGTCTCTCTGTGTCTTGTCCTCTGTCTCTCCCTTTCTGTGTCTGCTCCCTATTGTCCCTCTCTGTCTCCTCCCACCCTCTCCTGTGACCCCACCCTAACACCCTTCTCTCTGTTTCTCTCCTTCCTGCTCCTTCATCTGCCCACAGAGATCACCTGCCCAGAAAACAGCCACTACGAGGTCTGCGGCCCACCCTGCCCGGCCAGCTGTCCGTCCCCTGCGCCCCCTGCGATCCCAGCCGTATGCGAGGGTCCCTGTGTGGAGGGCTGCCAGTGCGACGCGGGTTTCGTGCTAAGTGCTGACCGCTGTGTTCCCCTAAACAACGGCTGCGGCTGCTGGGCCAACGGCACCTACCACGAGGCGGGCAGTGAGTTTTGGGCTGATGGCACCTGCTCCCACAGGTGCCGCTGCGGGCCTGGGGGCGGCTCGCTGGTCTGCACACCTGCCAGCTGTGGGCTGGGTGAAGTGTGTGGCCTCCTGCCATCCGGCCAGCGCGGCTGCCAGCCCGTCAGCACAGCTGAGTGCCAGGCCTGGGGTGACCCCCATTATGTCACTCTGGATGGGCACCGATTCGATTTCCAAGGCAACTGCGAGTACCTGCTGAGTGCACCCTGCCACGGACTACCCTCCGGGGCTGCGAACTTCACTGTCACTGTAGCCAATGAGCACCGGGGCAGCCAGGCTGTCAGCTACACCCGCAGTGTCACCCTGCAAATCTACAACCACAGCCTGACACTGAGTGCCCGCTGGCCCCGGCGGCTACAGGTGAGGAGGGCTGTGGGCCAGACAGGAGCAGGTGCCAGCTCTGGGGTTGCCTGAGATGGTAAGGGCTTCACCATTCCCCTGGGCACCTTTCACAGCTTAGCTGGGGCATGATGGAAGGGTCAGAGGATAGGCCTGGGAGTCTGATGGCTTGGCACCGCGGCTTCTTCCTCTCTGAGCCTACTGTATTCCTCCGTAAACTGGTGTAAGAAAAGTACCTGTTTTAGAAAAGGATGAGGAGTCACTGACATGTGCCTATAGAGGCTCTTTGATTTTCTTTTCTTTTTTTCTTTCTTGCTTTTCTTTCTTTTTTTTTTCTTAGCCTGACTCTGTTGCCCAGGCTGGAGTGCAGTGACAGGATTAGGGCTCACTGCAGCCTGGAACTCCTGGGTTCAATCAATCCTCCCACCTTGGTCCCTGCCTCCCCAGTGGCCGGGACTAAGGGCGCCGCCACCACGCTGGCTAATTTTTCATTTTTTTTGGAGAGATGCAGGTCTCACTATGTTGCCCAAGCTGGTCTGAACTTCTGGCCTCAAGCCATCCTCCCATCTCGGCCTTCCAAAGTACTGGGATTGTAGGCTGCGCCACCAGGCCCGGCCTATAGATGCTCATTATTATTTTCAGAGGGGAGGTGACATGCTCAGGGTCCCACAGCTAGTAGGTGGTGGGGCCAGGATTCAAACCCGTTTTCGCTCTGCTTATCGATCCCCCGCTCCCCCAACCCCCGCCCGCAGGTGGATGGCGTGTTCGTGGCTCTGCCCTTCCAGCTGGATTCGCTGCTGCACGCACACCTGAGCGGCGCCGACGTGGTGGTGACCACAACCTCAGGGCTCTCGCTGACTTTCGATGGGGACAGCTTCGTGCGCCTGCGCGTGCCGGCGGCGTACGCGGGCGCTCTCTGTGGCTTATGCGGGAACTACAACCAGGACCCCGCAGACGACCTGAAGGCTGTGGACGGGAAGCCTGCTGGATGGCAGGTGGGCGGCGCCCCGGGATGCGGAGAATGTGTGTCTGGGCCATGCCCGTCGCCTTGCACCCCAGAGCAGCAGGAGTCCTTCGGCGGCCCGGACGCCTGCGGCGTGATCTCCGCCACCGACGGCCCGCTGGCGCCCTGCCACTGCCTCGTGCCGCCCGCGCAGTACTTCCAGGGCTGCTTGCTGGACGCCTGCCAAGTTCAGGGCCATCCTGGAGGCCTCTGTCCTGCAGTGGCCGCCTACGTGGCAGCTTGTCAGGCCGCTGGGGCCCAGCTCGGCGAGTGGAGGCGGCCGGACTTCTGTCGTAAGTACTGCTCCATGCATGGTCCGCATAGCAGGGTCTCTCCCTGCCCTTCTTTTCCAGGACTGTAAGACAGCAGCCCCTTCCTCCTCCATGGGGCTCAGGGGCCACCTTCCTTCCTCTGAGCTGGGTATCTCCTGTCAGGAAACACCTTGGCTCCCACACACTGAAATGCCCCAAGTCAGGTACTGCAGTGAGAGAGAGTCAGTTAGAAACAGGTATTGAGAGTCTGGCCGCAGTGGCTCACGCCTGTAATCCCAGCACTTTGGGAGGCCAAGGCGGGCAGATCACCTGAGGTCAGGAAGTCGAGACTAGCCCGGTCAACATGGTGATACCCCCGTCCCTACTAAAAATACAAAATTCATCCAGGTGTGGTGGCGGGCACCTGTAATCCCAGCTAATAGGGAAGCTGAGGCAGGAGAATCACTTGAACCCAGGAGGCAGAGGTTGCAGTGAGCCAAGATGCGACACTGCACTCCAGCCTGTGCAACAGAGTGAGACATCAGATCAAATTAAAAAAGAAAGAAAGAAAAGAAAAGAAAAAAGAAAGAAAGAAAAAAAGAAAAGAAACACCTAGTCAGAAACCCGGGGTCCAGGACATTTGGGGATTGGTGATCCATGCTCTCAGACATCCAAGGCATGTAGATTGGGATGACTGACCCTGCCTCTGTCACATAGCAGGGTACCTTTGGTTAGGAAGACCTAGTGAGTTACAGCTGGTCACAGGGCCCTGGTCTGTTGCACACACTGAAATACACCTAGTCATATAGAATTAGTCGCCTGCCTTCAGTGGTATCTGCTCAGATTGTACACTGAGACTAACTGGTTAGATACACTCAGATAGAATCAGGATCCTGACATAGCCCTGGGCAGATCCACACAGATGCATAGTTAGATAGTCTTAGGCGGTTCCCTTCAGGCAGGTCTCCTGGTCACAGGTATCCTGCCAACTTCACCCAGGCACAGCCTGAGACAGACCATGTCCGAAGGACTCTGGGAGATGCTCCAGGTCAGACACCCACAGCTGGGTGCCCTCAGGCAGAGTCATACCCTGAGATACATGTGGCCCTATACCCCAGTCACATTCACACCCTGAGATACCCGTAGTCAGTTCTGATCTTGCATAACCCGAATAGATAATAGTGATCCATTTCACCCAGGTAATCCTGGCTGACATAGTGAGACGCCATCTCTACAAAAAACTACCAATGAATTAGCCAGATGTGGTCGCTCACGCCTGTAGTCCCAGATACTCAGGACTGTATCTGGGAGGCTGAGGCAGGATGATTGCTTGAGCCCAGGAGGTGGAGACTGCCGTAAGCGTGCCTCTGCACTCTAGCCTGAGTGAGATAGAGTGAGACCCTGTCTCAAAATAATAATAATAATAATAATAAATAACATAAATAAAAATCAGGCAAGCAGAGTCATTTCATCTTTAGAAATACTTGGTCAGGCTAACACATAACCTGGTCAGAGAGACCTGGGCATGTCCCCTCCCATTCCAGGTCCCACGCTGAGACCCCCAGTTAGATGTCCTGGATCACATGTGCATACTCGGAGACACCCAAGTTGACCTGAGCAGTTTTCCCACTCAGGGCCTCCCCAGACCCCAACTCAAACACCTACCTGACTCATGCCCACCTTGTCCCCACAGCCTTCCAGTGCCCTGCCCACAGCCACTACGAGCTCTGCGGTGACTCCTGCCCCGTGAGCTGCCCGAGCCTCTCAGCCCCCGAGGGCTGTGAGTCGGCCTGCCGTGAAGGCTGTGTCTGCGATGCTGGCTTCGTGCTCAGTGGTGACACCTGTGTACCTGTGGGCCAGTGTGGCTGCCTCTATGATGGCCGCTACTACCCGCTGGGTGAGGCCTTCTACCCGGGCCCTGAGTGTGAGCGGCGCTGTGAGTGTGGGCCAGGTGGCCATGTCAGCTGCCAGGAGGGCGCGGCCTGTGGGCCCCATGAGGAGTGCCGGTTAGAGGATGGTGTCCGGGCCTGTCATGCCACAGGCTGTGGCCGCTGCCTGGCCAATGGGGGCATCCACTATGTCACCCTTGACGGCCGTGTCTTCGACCTGCATGGCTCCTGCTCCTATGTCTTGGCCCAAGTCTGCCAGCCGAAGCCTGGGGATGAGGACTTCTCCATCGTGCTTGAAAAGAACGCAGCTGGAGAGCCCCAGCGCCTCCTGGTTACTGTGTCTGGCCAGGTTGTCGGCCTAGCTCAGGGGCAGCAGGTGAGTCCATGGGAGCCTGCCCTGGGGGTCTGAAGGCAACACAGCCCCATCTAGGGGGTTCTGAAGGACACATGGCCCCACCCTGTAGGTATGAGAGGGACATTCCTCCAACCTGGGAGCTCTGAGCCTACCCTGGAAGGTCTGGTGAATAGTCCCACCCAGGGAGATTTTTGTTTGGTTTTGTGACAGGGTCTCGTGCTGTCACCCAGGCTGGAGCGTATTGGCGTGATCACAGCTCACTGCAGGCTCAACCTGCTGGGCTCAAGCGATCCCCCCACCTCAGCCCCCCATGCCTAGCTAATTTGTTTGGTAGAGATGAGGTCTTGCTGTGATGGCCAGGCTGGTCTCGAACTCCTGGGCTCAAGTGATCCACCTGTCTTGGCCTCCCAAAGTGTTGGGATTACAGGTGTGAGTCACCACACAAGGCCTGGGGCCCAAGAAGTTTAAGGGAAACATGACCTGACGTTAATGGGACTGAGGGAGATGCAGCTGTGCCTTGGGAGTGGGACAGGACAGCCTTGCCTGTGGTTCTGTGAGTTCCTGACCTACCTGACCCTTCCACTCAGGTCACCGTGGACGGCGAGGCTGTGGCCCTGCCTGTGGCTGTGGGCCGTGTGCGGGTGACCGCCGAAGGCCGAAACGTGGTTCTGCAGACGACCAAGGGGCTGCGGCTTCTCTTTGATGGCGATGCCCAAGTCCTCATGTCCATCCCCAGCTCCTTCCGTGGAAGGCTCTGTGGCCTCTGTGGGAACTTCAATGGCAACTGGAGTGATGACTTTGTCCTGCCCAATGGCTTGGCAGCGTCTAGTGTGGAGACCTTCGGGGCTGCATGGCGGGCGCCCGGCTCCTCCAAGGGCTGTGGCGAGGGCTGCGGGCCCCAAGGCTGCCCCGTGTGCTCGGCAGAGGAGACTGCACCCTATGAGAGCAACAAGGCCTGCGGGCAGCTCCGGAACCCCCAGGGACCCTTCGCGACCTGCCAGGCTGTGCTGAGTCCCTCTGAGTACTTCCGCCAATGCGTATATGACCTGTGCGCGCAAAAGGGCGACACAGCCTTCCTGTGCCGCAGCCTGGCAGCCTATACGGCGGCCTGTCAGGCAGCCGGCGTGGCCGTGAAGCCCTGGAGGACAGACAACTTCTGCCGTGAGTGTCCGAGGGTCCCTCAGAGAACTCTAGACCAGATGTAGGGCCCCTCCTGGCCCATTCCTTCTATTCGCATGTGGAAGTGGTTTCTCCCCACCCCCTCCCACCCCACGCCCACATACCTCCTTCTCTCCCAGCGTAGTCCACTGGCTTCCCTGCTACCCCTCTGACTGTTCCTTCTCAGCCTCCTGTCCGGGCCCACTCTCCTCAAACCGCAAGTTCACTTCTTCCCTAGTGCTCTGTTCTGGACTCTTTCTGCAGGGACCTGAAAGGGATAGTTGGATGGGTTGGGAGATCTATGGCTCGCCCAGACCCTCCTTCTACCCCCTGACAAGATCATATCCCCTCAGATCCCCCCAAGACAAGGTTGCAGCCTAGTAGACACCCCCCTAAACTAGGACTGTACCTCTCATTCAAATCCCCAGGGGAGGGACATCACCTGAGACTCTCAGAACAAAGCAACGGCCCCTCCGGCCCCAGGTCAGAGCCAGGTCTCCCCTGGGCAGGACCTATACCCAGGGCTGTCGTCCATACCCGCGGCCTTAGATTTGTTCTCAGTGTTGACTGTGGACCTAGTCTGTCTGTCTCAAGCCCTGAAGCCTCTCCTGACTGTCAGTCCAGTGATCCTAATTTCTGACTTCTGGCCTTTAAAACTGTGGGAGAATGAATTTCTCCTGTTTAAGCTACCGAGTCTGAGGTAATTGTGAGGGTGTCCAGGACACCTTCCCCTGGGTGTCCTCAGGGTTCCTCTCACCTGATGCATTCCCAAATAAAATCAGCATATCACCCCCAGCCTGATGCTCCTTCCCCAATCCCGGTGGGCATTGCAGAACAGCCATACCATCCACCAATTGCTTAGCCAGAGATCAGGGACTTACCACAGATATTTCCCTTGGGTCCGTACAGCCTCTGTCCCAACCCTGACCCCTTTGCCTGTGCCCCCCCGACCCAGCCCTGACCCCTTTGCCTGTGCCCCCCCACCCTGGTCCCAACCCCTGTGCCTATGCCAACCCTGGTCCTGACCCCTCTGGCTGTGCCCCCTACCCTGGCCCTCAACTCTCTGTCTGTGCCCTCCCCATCCCGGCGCTGACTCTTCTGCCTGTAGTCCCCCACCCTGGCGCTGACCCCTCTGTCTGTGTCCCCCAATGCCTGCCCTGATCCCTCTGCCTGTGCCCCCCATCCCTGTCCTGACCTCTCTGCCTGTACCCCCTTATCCCTGCCCTGACCTCTCTGCCTGTGCCTCCCCATCCCTGCCCTGACCCCTCTGTCTATACTCCCTGAGGCAGCATGTTCACTTTTGGCTGTTCCTGTCTGTCCCACTGAACGTGAGCTCTGTAGGACTGGGGTTGAGGCTTTTCTCAATACTTGTGTCTTCAGTGCTACCTAAAACAGGGCTGGGTGTCCATTGGTTATCCAGGACCCTTCGGAGGTGTGACGCGGCCCTGCCTCCTCTTTCTGCAGCGCTCCAGTGCCCCGCCCACAGCCACTACTCCGTCTGCACACACACCTGCCAGGGCTCCTGTGCGGCTCTCTCTGGCCTCACGGGCTGCACCACCCGCTGTTTTGAGGGCTGCGAGTGTGACGACCGCTTCCTGCTTTCCCAGGGTGTCTGCATCCCTGTCCAAGATTGTGGCTGCACCCATAATGGCCGATACTTGCCGGTGAGTAGGGGTTGGGGTGGGCAGAGAGGGTAGAAGAGCTTGAGAGAGACCCGGAGCTTCCATGCTGACCTCTTCAAGGCTGGGGACAGAGGAGCCACCGCCATCTCCCAGCTGTGTGTGACTTGATGCAGGCAACCTCCCCGTATTAGTTTCCTGTAGCTTCTGTAACCAATTACCGCAGACGTGGCAGCTTAAACAGGAGAAATTCATTCTCCCACAGTTCCAAAGGCCAAAAGTCAGAAATCAGGATCACTGGACTGACATCAAGGTGTTGGCAAGGTGGCACTCCCTGCAGAGAAATCTAGGGGAGGCCATGCCCAGTAGCTCATGCTTGCAGTTCCAGCCCTTTGGGAGGCCAAGGCGGGAGGATCACTTGAGCCCAGAAATTCAAAACCAGCTTGGGCAACATAATGAGACCCCCATCTCTACAATTTTTTTTTTTTTTTTTAATTAGCTGGGCATGGTGGTGCACACCTTTAGTCCCAGCTACTCAAGAGGCTGAGGTGGGACAATTGCATGAGCCCAGGAGTTGGAGGCTGCAGTGAGTTATGATCACACTGCTGCACTCCAGCCTGGATGACAGAGCAAGACCTTATCTCTAAAGTAAAAAGGAAAAGAATCGGGCGTGGTGGCTCACGCCTGTAATCCCAACACTTTGGGAGGCCGAGGCAGGTGGATCACGAGGTCAGAAGTTCAAGACCAGCCTGACCAACATGGTGAAACCCTGTCTCCACTAAAAATACAAAAATTAGCCGGGCGTGGTGGTGCGTGCCTGTAATCCCAGCTACTCGGGAGGCTGAGGCAGGAGAATCACTTGAACTCAGGAGGCGGAGGTGGCAGTAAGCCGAGATCACGCCACTGCGCTCCAGCCTGGGCAACAGACCAAGACTCCATGTCCAAAAAAAAAAAAAAAAAAAGAGAGACAAAAGAAATCTAGGGGAAAATCTGTTCCTTGCCTCTTCCAGTTGCTGGTTGCTGCAGGTTTTCCTTGGTTGTGGCCACATCACGCCAACCTCTGCCTCTTCTGAGTGTGTCATAACATCTCCCTCTGCTTCCCTCTTATGAGGATACACGTGATTGCATTTAAGGCTCACTCAGATAATCCAGGAGAAATTTTCCATCTTAAGATCCTTAATTCAATCACATCTGCAAACACCCTTTTCCCATATAAGGTAACACTTACTCATTACAGGGATTAGGACCTGATATCTTGGGGCAGGGGCATCATTTGGCCCCTCCTTGAACTTCATTTTCTTCCCCTGCAAAATGGGGCTAATCACCATCTTTGTACCATACGTGTCTGAGGATCAGGCACGATTATACAGGAAAGATACCCACTGAGCACTGGGCCTTGCCCTGCATGTTCATCACACTCAGTAAAAAGAAAGAGCAGTTTACAGCATGGTGCAGTGGCTCACGCCTGTAATCCCAGCACTTTAGGAGGCCAAGGGGTGGGGCAGATCAAAAGGTCAGGAGTTCGAGACCAGCCTGGCCAATGTGGTGAAACCCTATCTCTACTAAAAATACAAAAATTAGCTGGGCATTGTGGCGGGTGCCTGTAGTCCTAGCTACTCAGGAGGCTGAGGCAGGAGAATCGCTTGAACCTGGGAGGCGGAAGTTGCAGTGAGCTGAGATTGCACCACTTCATTCTAGCGTGAGCAACAGACTGAGACTCCATGTCAAAAAGAAAAAAAAGCAAAAAAAAGAAATAGCAGTTTACAACAGTGCAAATAGGTAGCCCAGCTAATAATTGTTCAATAATATGAATTAAATTGAAGAATTGATTTTTTCTTGTTAATGATTTTTTTGAGCTCTTACTATGCACCATGTTTGTTATAGGTGTTATTTTTTTTTTTTTTTTTATTGAGATAGGAGCGCACTCTGTCTCCCAAGCAGAAATGCAGTGGCGTGATCATGGCTCACTACAGCCTCAAACTCCTGGGCTCAAGAGATCTTCCTGCTTCAGCTTCCTGAGTAGCTGGGACCACAGGCTCACACTGCCATGCCTGGCTAACTATCTAATTTTTTTGTAGAGATGGGGTCTCACTATGTTGCCCAAGCTGGTCTCAAACCCCTGTATTCAAGCGATCCTCCTGCCTTGGCCTCCTAAAGTGCTGGGATTACAGGGATGAGCCACCTCTCCTGGCCATGTTATAGATGTTAATCCATTTAATAATCATAACAATCCTCTGCAATAGATACTATGGCTATTTTCCCCATTATACAGATGAAGAAATTGTGACGTATAGAAGTCAGCCCGAGGCTATCCATTAACATGCGGTGCTGACTTGCATTGCTTGCAAATGGAGTCAAATTTTGCTCTTTCCAGTAGGCTCTCACTGCTTACTGGAAGCCATCCTTGATCCCCTAGGCTGGGTTAGGTACCTCCTCTGAACCCCTCAGCTCCCTATGCTTCCCCATTCCTGCTCTGACCCCTCTGCCTATACCAGAAGTCTTCTTGGATTTGTGAGTCTGGCCTTCATGGTAGAGGTCTGGCCTAGAGATGTGGAAATCATTAGTGTAGAGATGGCATTTATTTTGTTAATTACATTTCTTCATTTCTTACCTGTATCAGTTAGCTTTTGCTGGGTTACAGATCACTCCAAAACGTGGTGGCTTAAAACAATTATTCCTTTAGTTTGCAATTTTGTGACTGCAGTTTAGGCCGGACTTGGCTGGGCGGTTCTTCTGCTATGCTCTGGGGTTGCTCATGTATAATATCTGTAGTCACCTGGTGGGTCAGCTGAAGGCTGCCTGGTCTAGGGTGGCCTGAGCTGGAAGAGTTATCTATGTTCCGTGGGGTCACTCATCTTCTAGGGAGCTAGCCCAGGCTTGTTCTCCTGGTGGCTGGGCAGGATTCTGTGTATGAGAGAGAGAGAGAGAGAGAGAGAGAGAGAGAGAGAGAAAAGAGAAGCTGTAAGGTCTCTTGAGGTCTAGGCTTAAACCTGTCACGATATTGCTGCTTCTGTGTTTCATTCACCTAAATATAGTCTTATGGCCAACCCAGATTCACAGGGAGGGGGAAATAAACTCTATTTCTTAATGGGAGTCTGTAAAGTGACTCTGCATGGATACAGAGGGTTCAAGGAGTGTGGCCATTTTTGCGATCCATCCCACCACCATAACCTGGCCCCTTTCTGTGCACAGGTGAACTCCTCCCTGCTGACCTCAGACTGCAGCAAGCGCTGTTCCTGTTCCTCAAGCTCCGGCCTGACATGCCAGGCAGCTGGCTGCCCACCAGGCCGCGTATGCGAGGTCAAGGCTGAAGCCCGGCAGTGCTGGGCTGCCCGTGGTCTCTGTGTCCTGTCTGTGGGTGCCAACCTCACCACCTTTGATGGGGCCCGTGGTGCCACGACCTCTCCTGGTGTCTATGAGCTCTCTTCCCGCTGTCCAGGACTACAGAAGACCATCCCCTGGTACCGTGTGATTGCTGAAGTCCAGACCTGCCGTGGCAAAACTGAGGCTGTGGGCCAGCTCCACATCTTCTTCGAGGATGGGATGGTGACGGTGACCCCAAACAAGGGTGTGTGGGTAAGTTTGTGAGTAGGGGGTGGGGAATGTCTCCCCTGGGCTTTTGCTCTTCCGATTACAATGTCCCCACATTCCTGGCTTCCTTTCTGTCTTGCGATCTGTTTTCTTTATCCAGGTCTCTGTGGTTTAGTCTCTGGATTTGTATTTATCTCAATATTTCAAACTTGGTCCCTCTGTTCTGGCTGAGTTCTAGAGGAGCAAAAACATACTCGAGTAACTTAATAGTTTTGACACTAGTATGAATCGAGACTCTATGGGTTGCAAGTGACTTAAAACCAAATTCAAACTGCCTTAAGCAAAATAGAATTTATTAGTCCATGTAGCTAGAAAATCCAAGGATAGAGCCTCAGGAATGGCTGACTCTAGGTGCCCTGGCAATATTATCAGAAATTTGTACTTCCATCTTTGAGACTTGCTATTTGCCAAATCAGCTTTATTCTCAAACAGGCTTTCCACTTGCAGGGATAAAGACAACCCCCTCAGCTGCCCAGGCCTATGCCCCACCCGCTTAACTACCTTAACAGAAAATGGTTCAATAAAATATCCCAGGATTATATCTCACTGGGCCAGTTTGGGTCACATGCCCACCCCTGGAGCCAATCACTGTGACTTTAGGGAGGAAGTTCTGTGATTGGTCAAGGCTGGGGGGGTCACATAATGTGTCAGGGTTTCCCATAACCACCCCCAGGTTCAGTGATTCAGTAGGACTCACAGGACTCAGCATATAGTTGTACTTAGGGCTAAGACGTGTCATAGGGAAAAGATACAAAGTGAAATCGACATAGGGAAAAGGTGCATCCCACAAAGTCCAGGGGAAATCAGGTGCAAGCTTCCGAGAGTCCTTTCTCGGTAGAATCACACAGGATGTGCTTCATTCCTCCAGCAACAAAGGTGTAATGAAACATGAAATGTCGTCTACCAGGGAAGTTCATTAGAGTCTCAGTGCCTGGGGTTTTGGTATCCACCTACCAAAATTCCAGACTCCTAGAAGGAAACTCCCAGAAGATGCTCAGCATCTTTGTTCATCACTGGACTATAAGCCGCAGGTAGGCAGGGATCCTGTCCATCTTGGTCACCAGTTCGTTCCCAGTACCCAGATCAAGGCGTGGCACCTAGAGGGTACTCAGGAAAAGGTTGGTTTTGTGAATAAACTCAACCCTGCTCCTTTTGTGCCAGGCCATGTGCTGGGTAACAGAGATGACGTGGACTCAGTCGTTATACTTGCAAAGTTCGCACCCTACCGAGACTTTCCATCCACTAGTCTTCATCTATCCTTCACTATGCCCATCCTCCCTTTTCCCCTCCTTCCTTCCAGCATCTATTCTATACCTCTTTCTCTTTTTCCTATTTCCTTCCTTTTTGTCTTCTTCCCTTCCTTCTTTCTTCCATCCAGCCACCCATCCATCCACCCACAAATCCACCTATCCACCCATCCATTCATCCATCCATCCATCCATCCATCCATCCATCCATCCATTCATCCACCCACCCACCCATCTGTCTTTTCAGATCTATCTACCTATCTCTCCAATCATCTGGCAGAGGAAAACTCAGATACAAAAGCATTTAGAGGGCTGGGCATGGTGGCTCATGCCTGTAATGCCAGCACTTTGGGAGGCCAAGGTGGGCAGCCGATCACTTGAAGTCAGGAGTTAGAGACCAGCCTGGCCAACATGGCGAAACCCAGTCACTACTAAAAATACAAAAATTAGCCGAGCATGGCGGCAAATGCCTGTAGTCCCAGCTGAGGCAGGAGGACTGCTTGAACCCGGGAGGCGGAGGTTGCAGTGAATCGAGATCGCGCTATTGCACTCTAGCCTGGGCGACAGAGCAAGATTCTATCTCAAAAACAACAACAAAACCAAAAATAAACAAACAATAAAAGGATTTATTAAAAAAAAAAAAAAGAGAGAGAAGTCTTTCAAGGAAGTTTCTCTACAGAATCTAACTTTAGAAGGGCTAATTTACCAACTAATGTAGACAACAGTTAAAGGAAAAAAATTCACAAAGTTACTGGATCTGCAGCCTATGATGAAGAAAAAGTAATTTTCTCACATGATTATTATATTTGCTAAAGTCATTACTTATCTTCAGATATCAGCATTGCAAAAATAAAGGATAATGTTGTTTTGGTTAGGGAACCAATAACTTACAGAATGTGCTCAAAGTTTGTTTTATTTTGCAAACTAGAACCAGGCTGAGGTGGGCAGATCACCTGAATCCAGGGGTTCAAAACCAACCTAGACAACATAGTGAGACCCCATCTTTACAAAAAAATACAAAAAGTAGCCGGGTGTGGTGGCGCACACCTGTAGTCCTGTAGTCTCGGCTACTCGGAAGGCTGAGGTGGGAGGATTGATTGAGCCTAGGAGGTCAGGGCTGCAGTGAGCTGTGATTGCACCACTGCACTCCAGCTAGGATGACAAAGCAAAACTCTATCTTAAAAAAAAAAAAAAAAAAGGAAGAAAGAAAAAGAAAGTTAGAACTGTAAAGATGACCCTGGGGTTTGATTGTTTGTCTGTTTGTTTGCTTATCTGTCTGGTACAAAGTGCTTCCCCCACTGACTTTGGGGTATTGTGTAGATCCACAGGTCGATCTCTCCATCCCTCCACTCTCCATCCTTCTATCCGTCTATCCAGATCTCCAGCTATCTTCTCATGTATCCATTACTCCAAATAGTGCAAACACCCAGGTCTTCATCTCTTTCAGCACCCGCCTCTTTGATTTAGCTCCATGAACTTATCTTGCTTGGGGTCTCCATCCTGGTAACACCCAGCTATTCTATGGCTGTGGCCTCACCTCTGTGTTTGCTGGGCACCCCCCACCAGGTGAATGGTCTCCGAGTGGATCTTCCAGCTGAGAAGTTAGCATCTGTGTCCGTGAGTCGTACACCTGATGGCTCCCTGCTAGTCCGCCAGAAGGCAGGGGTCCAGGTGTGGCTTGGAGCCAATGGGAAGCTGGCTGTGATGGTCAGCGGTGACCATGCTGGGAAACTGTGTGGGGCCTGTGGAAACTTTGACGGAGACCAGACCAATGATTGGCGTGACTCCGAGGGGAAGTCAGTGATGGAGAAATGGAGAGCACAGGACTTCTCCCCATGGTGAGGAATGTAGTATGGAAACCAGACTTCTTGGGGCAAAGGCACCTGGATCCTCATGGGATGAGGGCAGTCAGGGTGGGTGTTTAGTCTGCAAGCGGGGGTGCTAAGTGTCTGTCTCTTGCAGTTATGACTGATCAGTTGTCCACCGGGAGTGAAGACTTCCTGAAGAAGACCTGATCCTCCTGGAGGTTGCAGGGGCTGAAGGATGCATCATGTGCTCCTACCCGGCTCTACCAGTCTTCTGGGTCGCAAAGGCCAAATGTGAGAGCGTTGAATAAATCTCTTAAGCTAAGCTGCATGTCACTGTGTCTGTCTCATGCCTTCTCATCCCTGACTTTCCTCCTGCACAGCAGGTATCAGGTGCCTGGGGAATCTAGCACATGATGAATGTTTATCGGGGGCTGGGAGGATGGATGGATGATTGCATGGGTAGATGAAGAGATGGATGGAGGAATTGAGAAAATGGTGTGTGGGGAACTAGGAAGATGAGGCAACAATAGGTGATTAGAAGAATGGATGGATGAGAAGATAAATGGCCAGGCGCAGTGGCTCACGCTTGTAATCCCAGCACTTTGGGAGGCTGGGGCAGGAGGTTTGCTTGAGCCTAGGGGTTTGAGACCAGCCTGGGCAACATAGTGAGACCCCATCTCTACAAAAAATATAAAAATTAGCTGGGCATGGTGGCACGTGCCTGTATTCCCAGCTACTCGGGAGGCTGAGGTGGGAGGATCACTGGAGCCTAAGAGGTTGAGGCTGCAGTGAGCCATGATCATTCCACTGTGCTTCAGCCTGGGCAACAGAGTGAGACCCTGTCTCAATAAAAAGAGAAGATAAATGATTGGATGGAGGGAAGGAGTGGAAAATAGAGAGAGATAATAGATTCTGGCTTTATCATTTATAACCCTAGCAAGTTACTTAATTTCTCTCTGGATCAGTCTTCTCATCTTTAAAGTAGAGTTAATGATAGTACTTACAGAGCTGGAGTGAAGATTTAATGTGTTAATGCAATCAACAAGTAAAAAACTGAAGTCTTGGTTTTCTTTCAAATCTGTCCCCTTCCCATGATGGTCTTCCCTACCTCCTTAAATAGCACAATTAGCACCCAGTGAGTTCAGCAGCAAGAAAATAGGGGAATTATTCTTCATTTCTTCCTCTCCTTTGTCCTCCACTCAGTTCCTTAACAGATCATCTTGAACTGTTTCAAAACACACCCAAGGCCCCACGGTAGCTCACGCCTATAATCCCAGCATTTTGGGAGGCTCAGGTGGTCGGATCACGAGGTCAGGAGTTCGAGACCAGCCTGGCCAACGTGCTGAAACCCTGTCTCTACTAAAAATATGAAAATTAGCCGGGTGTGGTGACAGGAGCCTGTAATCCCAGTTACTTGGGAGGCTAAGGCAGGAGAATTGCTTGAACCCGGGAGGCAGAGGTTGCAGTGAGCCGAGATTGTGCCATTGCACTCCAGCCTGGGCAACAGAGCAAGATTCTATCTCGAAAAAACAAACAAACAAAGAAAAAACATACCTGAAATCTACCTTTCTTATTATGCCCACTGTCACCACCTGGTACAAGTCATTATCCTAACTTCTGTCAACAACACAGTAACCTACTGTCTGCTCTTTCTCTTCTGTAATCCACTGTCACAGCTGTCATGAGAATCTTCCTTAAAATATAAACAGGTCACTTGGGGCCAGGAGTTCAAGACCAGCCTGGGTAACATAGCAAGACCGACCTTGTCTCTACAAAAAATTTAAAAATTAGCCAAGCATGGTGGTGCAGGCCTGTAGTCTCAGCTACTGAGGAGGCTGAGGTGGGAGGATTGTTTAAGCCCAGGAGTTTGAGGTTACAGGGAGCTATGATTGCGCCATGCATTCCAGCTTGGGCGACAGAGCATGATCCTGTCGTTTAAAATAATAATAATAATGGTTATATATAAAAATATATATTATATAATATATATAATTATATACATTTATAATAAAATCAAATTTCTTCACCTTGTCCTATGAGGCCCCTGCCAACCTCTTCTGACTCATCTCCTATCACTGTCTTCCTTGCCAATTATGATTTGGGAATGTGATCTTTCAATTTATTGAATGTGCCAAATTTTGCCACTTCAGTCCTTTATAACATGCTTGTCCCTCCACTCATGACATGACTGGCTTTTTCTCATCCTTCAATGTCATCTTCAGTGTTAATTAACTTAGAGAGGACTCTCATGACCACCCCACTGGGCAACATAGTGAGACCCCATTTCTACAAAAAATGTAAAAATTAGCTGGGCATGATGGCACGTGCCTGTATTCCCAGCTACTCGGGAGGCTGAGGTGGCAGGATCACTGGAGCCTAGAGGTCAAGGCTGCAGTGAGCCATGATCATTCCACTGCACTTCAGCCTGGGCAACAGAGACCCTGTCTCAATATAAAGAGAAGATAAATGATTGGATGGATCCACTTTCATGGATCCCCTTCTGTCCCACCCTTTTGCTAAATTCCTTCTTAGCCTTTGTCACACTTTATAATTAATTTTGTTTGACTTTCTCTCCAATTAGAAATAACTTAAGGGCAGAGACGGTATCTGCTTCATTCACTCCTTTATTTGCAACTCCTAGCACAGTCTGTCACATCGTAGGTGCTCAGTACATATTGGATGAATGAATAAATAACTAAAAACAAACTTGCAGGAAAGCTTTGCAATAAACCTAACAAAGAATATTCACAATATGCTGCACACCAACAGGGCACATGTATACATATGTAACAAACCTGCACGTTGTGTACCCTAGAACTTAAAGTATAATAAAAAATAAAAAAAGAAAAAGAAAAAAGAAAAGAAAAGAAGGCTTCTAAGAAAAAAAAATATATATATCCACAATATGCAGAGCTCCTTCAATAAGAAAGACAATAACCTAACCCAATCAGAAAAAACTGGGTTGGCCAGGTGCGGTGGCTCATGCCTGTAATCCCAGCACTTTGGGTGGCCGAGGCAGGCAGATTACCTGAGGTCAGGAGTTCTAGATTAGCCTTGCCAACATGGTGAAACCCCCATCTCTACTAAAAAATACAAAAATTAGTGGGGCATGGTGGTATGTGCCTGTAATTCCAGCTACTCCGGAGGCTGAGGCAGGAGAATCGCTTGACCCTCGGGAGGCAGAGGTTGCAGTGAGCCAAGATCACACCACTGTACTCCAGCCTGGGCAACAGAGCAAGACTCCATCTCAAAAAAAAAAAAAAGAAAAGAAAAATAAAAAAAATGGGTTGAGGATATAAACAGGCAATTGGGAGAAATCCAAACATGTTGAATGCGTACAGTATGTCATGTTCTTTGTGTATAGTATTTCTGAACTTCATAATTACTCTGTGAAATGGGAATAGACAAAGAAATAGGCTCAGTGAAGTTAAATAACTTGTCCAAGGGCAAACAGTTTGTAAATAATGGAGCCCAGATGTGAATCCGGATGTGTCCTCTACCATAGCCAGTGCTTTCTATTGAATTTTGCTGTCAACCATTGCCTGGGATCCATTTCCCTTCGAGAAAAAGAATTAAGAGGTCCTAAAAAATAAAGAATAAAAAGCAACATTCCAATAGAAAAATATGCAAATGATTGGAATAGTTCATAGAAAAAGAAATACAAATTGCCTTAAAACCTGGCCGGGCGCGGTGGCTCAAGCCTGTAATCCCAGCACTTTGGGAGGCTGAGACGGGCGGATCACGAGGTCAGGAGATCGAGACCATCCTGGCTAACACGGTGAAACCCCGTCTCTACTAAAAATACAAAAAAACTAGCCAGGCGAGGTGGTGGGCGTCTGTAGTCCCAGCTGCTTGGGAGGCTGAGGCAGGAGAATGGTGTAAACCTGGGAGGCAGAGCTTGCAGTGAGCTGCGATCCGGCCACTGCACTCCAGCCTGGGCGACAGAGTGAGACTCCGTCTCAAAAAAAAAAAAAAACCTAAGGAGGTGGCTGGGTGCCGTGACTCACGCCTGTAATCCCAGCACTTTGGAAGGCTGAGGCGGGCAGATTACCTGAGGTCAGGAGTTCGAGACCAGCCTGGCCAACATGGTGAAACCTTGTCTCTATTAAAAATACAAAAATTAGCTGAGGGTGCTGGCACACGCCTGTAATCTCAGCTACTTGGGAGGCTGAGGCAGGAGAACTGCTTGAGCCGGAGAGACAGAGGTTGCAGTGAGCCGAGATTGTGCCACTGCACTCCAGCCTGGGCGACAGAGCAAGACTCTGTCTCAACAACAAAAAACAAACAAACAAAACCTAAGGAGTGTCTGATTCTGCTCATATGAAAAGAAATGCAAATTAAATTACCCTGCAATACTACTTCTCACCCATTAGCAAAGTCACAAAAATTAGACAATATAATTTGTTGACTAGACTATGAGAAAAGGAACACTCTTCTGTGTTACCAGTGGGAATGCACAACGTGTAAGTCCAACGCATAAGGGATATTTGGTAGTGTCTAACCAGACTGCAGGTGCATTAAAAAATTTTTTTTTTTTTTTTTTGAGATGGAGTCTTGTTTTGTTACCCAGGCTCGAGTGTGGTAGCGGGATCTCAGCTCACCGCAACCTCCACCTCCCGGGTTCAAGCGATTCTCCTGCCTCAGCCTCCCAAATACCTGGGATTACAGATGTGCACCACCGTGCCCAGCTAATTTTGTATTTTTAGTGGAGACGGGGTTTCACCGTGTTGGCCAGGCTAGTCTTGAACTTCTGATCACAAGTGATCCACCCGCCTCAGCCTCCCAAAGTGCCGGGATTACAGGCGTGAGCAGTACCCCACCCCCCTCGGCTGCATTTATCTTTTGATCCAGTGATCCCGCTGCTAGGAATCCAACTTAAAGATACATTGGCAGTAAAAGGATGTAAGCCTGAGGCAGGAGAATAGGGTCTGGAGGCAGAAAACCTAAGGCTGATTTGCACTAACTTCTTAGAACTGAATCGAAAGGAAAATCCCAATTTTCCACACCCAAGTAACAAAAGGATCAGAGGCTACTCCCTTTGCAACCCCCAACCCCAGCGGGCTTCCCCTCCCCTTTCTGCGTGGCCGATGAAAAATGGAAAGTACCTCTGATTGGTAGTCTCCCACAACCAATCAGACTGGTCATGGGCCTAGTCTTCATTTGCATAGGGTTGTAAACCTGTAACTTCACTTCAGCCTCTGATTGGCCCCCCACCCATCCCGACCCATTAGACGTTTGCATAGGGTGTAACTTTGTACCTTCACTTCAGCCTCTGATTGGTTGCTTCCTGGTTTGTTGAGTGTGTCTGTTCAGCCTGCTCCCACCCTG